AATCCTTATTTTCAAATATTATCAAAAAAATTTTTATTTAAATATTTTAAATTTTAAAAAAAGTAAATTATAAGCAAGTTTATAGCAATTTTCCAGGCAAATTTGCCTGGAATTGTTTACAGTTTAAGGGATAGTAAAATAATAATAATACTGTATATACTGTAGTAGCTACAATAGTATTGTAAATATAAAACTGTAACTATGACTAGAACAGGTGCTACATCCCAAATATTAAAAAAAAATAAAATAGAACTATAACCAACTACATATTTATTTCTAAAGTTGCTAATTTGCATGTTTTAGCAATTTTATACTGTATTAAATATCAAAATTTTAAAAACATAATAGCTTTAATCACGTGTGCACACTTTTGCGCACGTGAAAAATGAACACTGGGATACTGTGCCAAAATTTTTAAAAATTTGAATTAGGTTTGTGTAACTTGCGTTGGAACATTTATACGTATTTTAAATACGTATAATCAAAACGTTACATATTCAATTAAAAAACTACAGTACATACTATTTCATATTTTTTTAAATTACTGTAATCCAAATACGTATTAACACTATATAGCCAACACTAAATCTTTTATATAGTTTATCAATAGGACTTTAGCATTACTAGACAAAACCTTTATACAAAGATTCTTTATATAAAATTTTAAATGCATGCACCAATTCAAAACATCGTAATAATACCACACCGAACTTAATGTGTATTAATAGTGTATTAATACCAACAAAGGCATTCATCTATATTGAGATTATATTAATAACTAAATGTTAAGATTATCATATAAAACTAAGAGAATATATTTCAATTCTTACTAATTATCATTCGCCCTTTCATAATACGTTTAATAACATTGATTTTGTTCCTAAACACTCAGAAAGCATATACTGAATTAGTGGGAAACATATTGAAATACGTATGAAACCAAGCCTTGATTTGCCTCTGCCTTTAAGATGTTATCATTGATATTAATCATATCATTTCCACCAGTGAAGTGGTCCCACCTGTGAATAAATTATTTAGTTAATACAAGCTTAAGGAAAATAATTATGTGTGAAGATACATACGAGCTTGTATCATTGTAATTCATCGTCTCTCCTTGTTGTCGAGAATTCTTTTGAACACCCTTTTCGCATCTATTACACTTAAAAGTATCATGTGTATCACATATAGTATCCGGATTTAAATAAAAGAGAAGCCTTAAGGATTCGTAGGAATAGTGTCTAACAACATCAACTTCTTCATCGACAATACATGAAGAGAGAGATTGTTTATGCGATTGGCGTTGAAAGACCTTCTCTTCGATAGATCCCGTCGAAATGAATCGATATATGAAACCTTTATAAATTCGAATATGATATTAGATAAAAAGGCTTATTTTAAATCAAATAAGACAACAAAATATTTAATATAATAATTAGCCATCCTATTTACTACATACAATTTTTCTTTTGTCCATCTCTCCAAACTCGAGCCAACGCCTATTAAAAAAATATGGTTAGTTATTTTAATATACCTATATTAAAATTATCTCAATCGCAATATAATTACTTGCTGATCTGCTGCAGGGTTCCAATCTGCCAATAAAAATGGTAAAAATATTTTAAAAAAAAAGAAATTAGCTAAATATTAACCATACAATAATATAGTAAAAATAAATCATTAATATACCCGGATCAAACAAAACAAGCCGATTTGCGCCGATAAGGTTTAATCCACAACCACCAGCTTTACTGCTTAATAGAAAAACAAATTCTGGACTGCGTGGGTCGTTGAACTTAGTTACAAGAACCTGGCGCTTCTTTATTGGCATTGAACCGTCAAGACGTAAATAACCATATCTTATAAAGTGCAAATACTATTATTTAAAAAATATGGTTATAAATTAAAATTATATATAATAAAATCGATTTACACTACTTTCTTGTTCTGCATAATCGTTCAAATACATCTAATGTTTGCGTATAATTCGAAATCAGGACAATTTTGTCATTTGTTTCATTTTTAATCTTTGATAACATTCTATAGCCATTAAAAATGTTAATATTAGATAAACAAGATAGATTATCATATGCGATAAATTTATAATATAGAAATTACCTATCCAATACATTCATTTTTCCTGAGAATTCTGGCTTGACCGTTCTCAACTTGTCTTTTATTGAATATCCTGACGGAAATAATTTTTGGGATCCTTTAAGCTCTTTTGGGAGATCAAGCAAATCCGGATGGTTGCATAATTTCTTAAGCGTAGTAATTGCTATTGAAGCATTCATTAGTTAGAAAAAACGCTATAGATTAAATATCTTACATAAATTCTCAAGCAGATATCAAAATATCAAGTCTGAATACCCTTGAGTGGTTGTGAACGAAGAAGATCTTGAATTTCAGGGCAACCAAGAAACAGACTGTATAATGACATTTGAAATTCGCTCAAACGACAAAATACAACATGTTCGTACTTCACGGGTACTGTAAAAAATTATTAGACTCGTTGAAAATTATTGAGATTTCAAAAAATATAGGTCTGTCAATGAACTTACAATATTTTGATAAAAGATCATTATTTCGCCTAATTATAAACTTGCTTACAACTTCCAACAATTCGGATAACTTTTGATCACTAGTTTCCCTCTCCTTTTCAGAAGCACCGGCATCACGCCCGCGCAGAATGGGGTTTTCATAATTTTTACGAAATTCGTTAGGTGTTCCAAGAAGATTAGGGTTTGCAAAATTCAATAGAGAAAAATATTCTGAAAGATCATTCTTTGAGATATTTAAACACGTTATTATTAATATAATTTACATACAACTTAAAGACATAGAATAGTAATTCTAACCTGAATTGGCGTGCCAGATAAAATAACTCTTCGTTGAACTTGGAGTGAATTTAAAGCTTGGAATAATTGAGAATCTAAGCCGAGAAAGTTAAAATAAATAATAATGAACTTAGAAATAGAACTTAATAATACTTTAAACCTCAATAATTAACTTACTTGAATTTTTTAGTTTATGGCCTTCATCGCACAATAATAAGCCAAATTGAGTAGTCTTCAATTCTGATATATTTATTCGAAGAGTCTCATACGAAATGATTAACACTTTTAATTAAATAGACAACATAAAGTAAATGAATATGCTAAATTATTGCTGGAGATTAGACGTTTTATAATATATACCTGGTTGAATAATCTTTCCTTTAGCTCCAACATATTGTCTTAATTCTCTTATTAAATTTTCCTTCTTTCCCTTGCTGTCCATAACTAGTGCTCTTAATTTTATAGGCCCAAGCCATTTCACTAATAAGCGAAAATATATCAATATACCTGCAATAAGGATGCGACCAAATCTAGTTGTATATAATTAGTAGCCTACCCAATTCATTCGCCCAATTATGCACAAGACTTGACGGACAGACAATAATACATTTTTCTATTGTTCCTTTACCGGGATCAGGCGATTGTTTAAGTAATGTCCACAAAAGGGTGATGCATTGAAGCTATATTATATTATATGTAATATGAACTTAATATTGATGAAATAAAAGCGCGTAAAACAATTTTATTTACAAATTTCTTAAGAAAACAATTACAGTTTTACCAAGACCCATTTCATCAGCCATGATGCATCTACAAGGAAACATTCGAATTAGTAAGCAAAGAAATGTAATAAATATGAAATAGATAGTAATAATAGACTACTTACCCGTAAGCATTTTCAAAAGTTTTTCCAGTCGTGCAATTATACAAAAACTAGTAAATTTGTAAATTTAATAGTAAATATTCGATTTCTATTAACTAATGTATAATATTCGTGTGTTTAATACCTTTACACCTTCAACTTGGTGTGGTCGAAGTTTTCGACCTAAGACAGGATCTAAGAAAATAAAAATTTAATTACATAGCCTAATAACGATCAACATAAAAATAAAATAATGAATAATGACATACCAACAACCACGTGAACTTTTTTGTTTTTGTTCACTTCGTTCTTGATTCCCAATATATCTGCAACCGATTTATTTTTATAAGTTTTGATTTTGACAACTTCTTCTTCTTCTTTTTCTTTTAATTCAGGATCATCATTTGGATCATAAAGTACGATCGCGTCAGGAGCATGTGGGTCGAACCTAGGTTTATTCAAAACATTTCGCCCAGGTCGCCTCGCTTCTTGACTAATCTCAAACGGAGGTGGTTTAATAAAAGAAGGCATTTTGAAAGGTTTAAAAAGTTTTTTCGTAGGAGCAGGATATAAATTGCAGCAAATTGAACTTGGGGGACTTGTATCAGAAGAGTCAGAGTCCTTGGATTTATTTTTTGGAATTTTGCGCATACGATTTTCATCGTCTTCAGATTCTTCAGAACGATAAATTTTTTCGTCATCGGCAGAGTCATGATTGACTTTAATACGCTTTGACGGATTTGAAATTAAAGACTTTACTCGTTTTTCTTTTGATGTATTAGGCACGTTGTCACTAGTAGATACATTTAAGATTTTTGGTGGTATGAAACCAAGTTTAAGACGGTTCTTTAACATTTTAAGTAAAAAATATCTTTAGGAGAATGATTATAATAACTAAATGTATAGTCGGTTTTATTTCGATGAAAAATCATATGAAAATTATGAAATCAAGAAAGACAAGCGAATATAGCAACAGAATAAATTGTTTGCCGATCTATGAAGATGCATGTTTATTTGTTTATTTCCTTATTCTGTTACAATGATTATGATTGGTTTGACCCTTCTTTTTTTTTTTGAAAATTATGTATGACAATTTAACCGCCGGAAAGTTAATATACGTGAATAACTCGTAAGCTTACTCAAGAATTGCCACAAAACTTTTGTTTAACTAGAAAATGAGGATCGAACACTCATGAAATACAAGATAGTGTCCGAGCAGAATACTAGTATGCGATATGATTGGAGGATCATCATTAAAAACACGCGTGAATTTTGATTTTATCATGTACTTGTGGGACTCATTGAAAGACTCACCTACAAAAATTTTTCCGGTCACGTGAAGTAATAGCCAATCAAAATGATCAAAATACAGTCGATACTGTCTAAATGCATACTATCTCAACTATCTAAATGCGTATTATAATAAACTCCTTTAAAAAATTATGCATTTAGACAGTATTGACTGTATTAAGATTTTGAAAATTTTTTACGGTTATAGCGTAAAAAATTTTTTATTTTAATTCTATACATTTGTAGAATTAAAATAAAAGAAAATTTTATCGAATTCGGATAGATGGTTGTTGAGAAATTTTCCCTAAAAGTTTAAAAAAACGGTCGAATATCGGAAAAAATAAAGGAGTAAATTTTCTTTTTTTTTATTAACTTTAAACGAATTTCTCAACAATCATCGATCAAAATTTTTTTATTTTTATAAACTTATAGAATTAAGGGCGTTCTCAAGCGCCTCAATTAATGGGTATGTCAAAAATATGTCGGAAATTAAATTTTAATTAACGGAAAGTAATTTTCATCGATCAATCGAGCTTGTCATTAAGATGAGTAAGGTAGTTTATTACATGAAAAAAAATTTTTAAATAGTAAAAAATGATAATTGAGTTTACCATTTCAGCCGAAAAACTTTTTGTCCCTAACCACCTTTTTTTTTGCTCTGACTTATAAAACTTTATAAATATTAAAATGAATAAAGTATTGTTCAAGTGTTTTGATACTTTTATTATAGATTTTGAAATCTTTATTTTAACCTATCGTTGCAATTGAGCATCACTACAATTATTAAAAAATTCATAGTAATAGCAATGTTTGAGCATATCTCAATAATATAGTCATTCGTATTATTGATTTTTATCCAAAATGTCATGGCAATAGCTAAAATTCTCCTAATTTTAATTAAATAATCAAAAACATATAAACGCACCTGACTTTAGCCATTCCCAAATGTGGCATGTGTTATCTAAACTTTTTTTATCTCGATTGATGCTTGAGAACACTCTAAATAAAAAAATTTTAATCGAATTTGATCAGGTGAATGTCGAGTAATCGTTCAAGTTTAGGTGCCTATAAAAAAGAAGTTGCGGCTAATTTTTTTCTAAAACTTTTATTGAAGATTTCTCAACAACCACCTATCCAATTTCAATAAATTTTTTTTATAAACTCACGGAATTATGGAGGTTTGCAAAAAGGTGTGACCCTGTGATTTCTTGATGATGATAGTGGAAAAATTTTTGAGATTTTAATTCTCTATTGACTATTGCTCACTTCACTAACAATCATTTCACCGAAAGTTCACTTAGCCGACATCACATAGGGTTAGGATTAGTGTTTTATTAGTTGCAGATATATATTTTCAGTAAATTGTCACTTGTGTGATGTCAACTAAATGAGTTGTCATGATTATTTGAATCTAAAATCTACTAGAATTGGCTGATTTTTTGTGATTTTACATGACATCATGATCTGCAGAGGTCACACCTGCTATAAAAAAGATCAGATGTATTTGATTACTTGGTTAAAATTAGAGTAAGAGTTGGTTAGAGAGTTAGAGTTAGGCAAGTCTTATTCCTTAATCTGTATGTAAATTCAGAATAAATTTGCCCTGAATTTTGTAAAATAATTTTTATTCTATTTAAATTATAATAAATACTATAAATTGGTTATAAATTAAATTAAAACCAAACATTTAATAAATTTATTTACAATCAACGATTCAACTCTTTTCGATGATCATTGCTTTTAGACCTGAGTTAGGTTTTGCACTATGATATAGAACCGAGTGAAGTTGGACTTCTTAGCTGAAATTTATATATTTTAGTTATTATAAATATTAATAAATAAGATTAGTTATAGCGAGACCTGTCGATATTTAAAAAAAAAAATAAATAAAAAAAAATAAATTTATTTACACAGTTCTCAGATCACTCTTTCTGATGATTACTTTTACTACAAAAATTTAAAATTTTTTTAAAAAATACAAACATCTGTAGAGGTTGAAACAGTTTGAGAAATAGTCTTTAAACTCTGTAACTCAGTAGTTGTTATTGTTCGAAATGAAGCGAAAAACCTATACTTCTATGCACTTTGATGACTAAAATTACCTTTTTGATATATTTATAGTAAAAATATCAAAAACGTAATTGTGGCATTTTCCAGATGTAATGCCAAAGTAAACCTTATTTTGACTTCTAATAAAAGTTGCAAAGGCGTGTCTTGCAATTAAAATGGCGATTAAAACATTAAAATCGGTTCAGTGGATCGCAAGATATAAGCATTTTTGTCTTCGCAATTATATAGGGTTGAGTCAATAGAAACCAAGCAAATATTTTTTAATAAGTTTTTTTAAAATTTTAAACAAGAATAACTG